AACACCCTGATTGTAAGGTGGAAAATTATCATCAATAAGAATGGAGACTATGTCGTTTAATAAATGTTTTATTTTGATATATAAGTTGTTCAGGTTTTTCATCTAAAAAAAGGCAACATTAATTTCTTGACGACCTAATATAATGTCGTTGCCTTTCCACTTATTTCATATCAGTTTAGCACAAACTGGCTAAACCTAACCTAAACTGTTAAAATTACTTAATATGAAAGCTAAAAGTCAAGCTCTTTAAATACACAGTGAAGAAAATACTAACAGATGGCAATAGAATAGAGACATTATAAAAGAACAAATCAAGGGATAGAAGGGAAGAAAGGCTCATTAAAGATACAGTAGAGAATAATAGGTGTAGAAGCTAGAAAATGAGAAGCTCATTAGACACACAGAAAAGAAAAACTTAAGGAATCAGAGACACAATGGAAAAAAATAACTCCTTGGAGACACAGTAAAGGAGCAAACGAAAGGATAACAGGGACAATGGAAACAGAGAAGCTAGTTGGAGACGCAGTAAAGGAGCAAACGAAAGGATAACAGGGACAACGGAAACAGAGAAGCTAGTTGGAGACGCAGTAAAGGAGCAAACGAAAGGATAACAGGGACAATGCAAACAGAGAAGATAGTTGGAGACGCAGTAAAGGAGCAAACGAAAGGATAACAGGGACAATGGAAACAGAGAAGCTAGTTGGAGACGCAGTAAAGGAGCAAACGAAAGGATAACAGGGACAATGAAACGGAGCTTATTCAAGGTAGATGAATGAGCCAGATTAAAAGAATAGCAGAAGAAGTATAAGAATAGAATTAAATTAGAGGTAGTATCTTTGTATTCGATCGTTACTGAAATGGTGTATTCCCAGTTAATGTTACTTTACTGAAAAAAAAAACCTGAAGTCAATAATGGTGTTACATCTTGTCCTGTAATTGTGATAAGTGTTTTATAATAACACATATCAGTAGATTTGTGATATGACAACAAAGTAACTATCACATCATCATGATAGTCTGTGCGCGATATAAAAGTCATGTCCCGTCAGATAAGGCATTCTACATTCTAAATTAGCCTGGTGCATAGAAATACCACTGATTTTATAAGAAAAACTATCATTCAGCCAAACGTTATTAATAAACCAAGAAAATTTAAGAAAACAGACCTATTAATAAGGATGTATGACTGAATGATCAGTTGTAAGGTAATGGTGGTGACGTTAAAACGCTCTGACAGCTAGATATATATAAATAACAAATGTTTCGCCCCAGGGGTCACAGTTGATCGTCCTGCCTCCTGGGGTAAACTTGGAAACCGCATTACTCATTTGTGAGTAATAGTGAGTCATGGAGCAGGTTGAATGGTCTTTGTGATGTAGCCTTGGAGGAAATTTAGTGGGATCATAGCAGAAGAATCAATGGGTTTAAGTTTTTCAGACTCTAGTAAAATTCCGACTAAGAAACTATTTAGAGATTAATGTCGAAATTTATTTACTTACCCTGAATTCTTCTGTATCTGCTTCAGCTATTTCCAACTGATAGAATTCAACAAAGCTACAAGCTTGGGGTTGCCATGCTACAGTAATGGTGTTGTTCTCTGTTGTACATTCTTCCGATATTAAACTTGGAGGGCCTGGCGCTGGAGCACAAGAAGCACAAATTTATATTAGAAGTGTACGTAAAACACACAAGTACCAATGATATTGAAAACTCAGATGCTTTAATGTTCTAAATACCTAGTCAAAGATACTGCTCTTTGAAAGAGAAAATTAGGTTAATCTGAAATTACAATATCTTGAAATATCTAAAATGAAAGGAAAATTATCGTGAAATTTTTTTCCATTTCTCTTCTTGATGTAAAAGTCATACCAAGCGTGAGTTGAATATCCTGAAAACTACATGACGGTTCCCTAAGAGCCGACTGACATTTAAAGTGTAATGTTTAAATTACTTAACTAATTTGTTAACTCGGTCTATAAATGAACATAAAGCGTCTCATTAGCTCTATACTCAATGCTTATCAGAACAAAACCGTTCCCTTCAAGTCTTACAAAAATTGGATTCTTACAAAAAGCAATTGTTCTGATATGAATCATCTAGGCTTTCTGACGTCAATGCTGCCAGCACAAATAGATACATTAAGTTTTAAGGTGTTCCATGCTTGTGCAGGGGATATGTTAAATTGTTGGTCGTTTCTTTCTGCTAAATTAAAGAAACCTTGCTACTGAAGAGTAAACAGATCTCTAATCACGCGTGAGAAATCTAGACCACGTTAGAAAATAGAACTGTTATATGAGGTTATAATCTAATTATTTGTCATTTTACTGGGCCTTTTCAGTTTCATTACAATATAATTTAAGCTTGACTCAATAATGGTAATAATTATAAACATTCTGAATGTAATGAAATACAGAGCAATGGTTTACACCGTTACAGTGTTTCGTCACCAGAAGGTGGTTAACACTTCGTGTATGCAAAGCTGAAGACGATAATCTTTTATTTGGATAAGCAGGCTTTAGCACACAGCTGGAACTAATCATGTGACTTAGTTTATGTATTGCACATCATAAACTACAGAGAATTGTTTCCAGATAAACTGTTGCACAACTTATGTACTTCATGTTATTTTAAAGCTCGATTAATTATCTAGTTACAATTTGTCATTGCAGAAAAACTTTAATGCTACTTCTGTCTAAAAATATAAGGTGATATTGAAAGATATATTAAGTATTTAAAACATATTTTAACTCAAATGACACTTTAAAAGTGATAAACGTCTAATAAAACTCATTATTGTTTGAACAGTTCTTATTTGAAGATAAATTCCAACGAACTATTTAAGAACACAAATTCTCAAAAACATTGAACTTTACTTGTTCAAATTACTCATTCTATATATATATCTGAATACAGATGCATAAATAACCCAATGCAGATACTTTCTTAATATATAGAGTTATTTGTATACATCCTATGTTCTGTATCTGTAATAACTGTGAGGTATGTCACAGCAAGACACTTAATAACATTACACTACACACTTTGGAAATTCATGAGCTGCAGGTGGCAGCACAGTAGCGAACATTATACTGGGTTTTCTTCGCAAACCTTCGAATGTAATGTCCTTTCGAACAGGTTCCCTGACGTCTATGGATTACTGTATTACAACCCTTGTGACGTTTTTCTGGGGTTATTCGAAAGTAACCTATATACTATACAGGAGCTTGAGAGTGTAGTTATTTGGGAAGTGTGTGAAAGTCTTCAGGAGCCAATTCACAGTGTTGTACGCTATAATACGTCACGTGACATCACAGCATAGAAGACATATAGCATGTCATTTACAGTCTACTGAATCTCCCAAGTTTCGAGCAGTTCACTCTCATACGAAAGTGTTGCTACACACGCAAAACTTATGAAGTACAAACTAATCCTGTATTTAGTAGGTGTGTTAACTATTCCGATATATTATTTTATAACTTAAGTTTACGTTTTTTCTTATAAGTACAATGTTATGAGAGTATACCCAATCTATCATGCAACATGTTTCTTCATTTTAGAGATTTTTGTTTTTGCCAATTTCAGCCTTTAAAACATTAATGAAGTGACGAATGTAAGATAGATCTAAGTAGCTTACATCGTTATTTACTAGATAGATCTAAGTAGCTTACACCGTTATTTACTAGATAGATCTAAGTAGCTTACACCGTTATTTACTAGATTGATCTAAGTAGCTTACATCGTTATTTACTAGATAGATCTAAGTAGCTTACACCGTTATTTACTAGATAGATCTAAGTAGCTTACACCGTTATTTACTAAATAGATCTAAGTAGCTTACACCGTTATTTACAAGATAGATCTAAGTAGCTTACACCGCTATTTACTAGATAGATCTAAGTAGCTTACACCGTTATTTACTAGATAGATCTAAGTAGCTCACACCGTTATTTACTAGATAGATCTAAGTAGCTCACACCGTTATTTACAAGATAGATCTAAGTAGCTCACACCGTTATTTACAAGATAGATCTAAGTAGCTTACACCGTTATTTACAAGATAGATCTAAGTAGCTTACACCGTTATTTACTTTCCTCACGCATCATTTAGTCGTTAACATTTAACAAAAAATATCCTTATAGATCTAAAAAACGTTACCTTTCAGTTGGGCAAAGGTCATGTGTTCAATACTGTGTAAGACGGAGAGATGGTCAAGGTTAAGGTCAATTTCGTCTGAAGCTCTTGGTGTGAAGGTCATTTCCTTATGCCACGCCATGTCCACGTGCGAAACCCTGTCTACTAAAGATGTTCCAACCTATCATAAATGAGAACAGAGAAAGATTCTACAATGTCTTCCTGTATTAAAAGCATTAAGAAATCAAATAATGAAATCTAAACAAAAAGACATGAAATTAAACACAAAGTTCAAAATTCATTTTGAAATCATAAAATAGGTTAAAATAATGAGATATCAGCAAATGTCTTAAGTTGGATGAGGTAGCAAATATCTAGCTACAGTGTGGTATTACAGATGAATACTAGAGGGATACTCAGTAGAGTGCATACCTCAGACCCGCAGCGTTGATCATATTAGGCCCTCAAAAAATACGAAAATGTCTCCATATGTCTGTCGTCATTAACGGACCATTTTTAGCAGAACAATGAGGAATAATATTCTACATACGCCCACCAAGTTCCGATGATTTTTGACTGAGTTATAGAGCAAAAATAGTGTGAAAAATCGGTTCTCATGTTAACAGACAGGGATGTTTTGGATTTTCGTGACCTTGCTGTGATCTTGACCCTCCAAAAACTAATCACTTCTCTGATAATGGATTTGACTTTTGTTAAAGTGTTGTATTTCAGTTTCAGTATAAATTATCAGCTGCTTATTACAAAATAGATTAATGTTCGTTAAATATTTAAAATTATATCCACGGAAGATTCCTATCAATTATGGCCAGGTTCGAATCCCCCTCACACCAAACATGTTTGCCCTTTCAGCCGTGGGAGCGTTATAATGTGACGGTCAATCCCACTATCCGTTGGTAAAAGAGTAGCCCAAGAGTTGGCGGTGGGTGGTAGTGACTAGCTGCTTTCCCTCTAGTGAAAACTCCCAGTTTCACACAGAAAAAATATAATTTGGAATTCAACTTAAAAGTAAGAAAACGTATCAAACTATTAGATTAGAAAGGCTAGTAATTTTTTGGGAAAAATGTTCTAGAAAGTTAAATCAAAATAACCATGAGACTTTTAAAGTTGTTGTGATCACTAAATATTCACGTATTTTTGATACATTCAAATGGTAGTTTAAATATGAAGAAAATTAATTATAACCATGAAAATTTTAGATTATACCAGTAGAAAATTACATACTAATTACTTAACAAAAGTTTTAAGAAAAGGTTAACGGATTTAATTGTGTTTTAATTAGACAAATTTGATGCAGATTATGTAATAAAATGTTACTCTCAGTGTTAATCGAAGAAGGTACTGTCTGTAAAATAATTTTTGTAGTGTGGATTCTGAGTGAAACCAAGGGCTAAAGATGGTCGTCATAACGGCTTATAGGTGTGGAATATTACTAACGTTTCTTTTCTCATATTGGAGAAAACATGGTTCATACCAACCATGAAATCATATACTTACGTAACTGTGTATCATGAAACAATGAACGTAAATGAAACTGCATACCAGGCATTATTATTTGAAATTAATCCGCTTTTAAATAATCTTGATGTCGTCAGTGTATATATATTGATGGAAAATGTTACTTTAATCAAAGCAAATTAGTTTTATATACATATTAAAATAATTGTTTGAGCTGTTCCTTTCGTTATGCTAATCAAAGTAGTAAGGTATATGAATACATACCTATATTGAGCAAATTATAGATATAGTTTTAAAACCATAATGCTCGACTCAAATATTAGCTCAGATCAAGAATCGGCACAGCTTGTTTGTGATCCAGAGGGAAGCCTAAGGGGCCTGTCCCTCCCCTTTTTGGCGACAATAAAATAATTTTATGTGCAAATATTCATTTTATGTATTTGCAGACTCATCATGCTCATCTTTGGTTTGCATTTATTTGGTAATTAATTCCTTCAGCCGTATGCAAACGTATGGTGAACAGAGAGGAGGGAAGGCTAGTGAAGCCAATATAACCCCCGGACCCCTCATAAGATTTCGCTCTCGGATCCCTTCGCGCCCTGTTGTTGCCCCCTCCCCTTTCGATCAGATCTGGATCCGTCACTGGTAAATATAGTTATAAAGCCATAATGTTTGACTTTGATATTATCTCACATCCCTGAAAGTTGTCTTGTCATGAATCGGGCACAGCTTGTTTGAGTTTGTTTTGTAAATATAGTTATAAAGCCATAATGTTTGACTTTGATATTAGCTCACATCACTGAAAGTTGTCTTGTCGTAAATCGGGCACAGCTTGTTTGAGTTTGTTTTGTAAACATAGTTATAAAGTCATAATGTTTGACTTTGATATTAGCTCACATCACTGAAAGTTGTCTTGTGATGAATCGGGTAGAGTTTGTTTTGTAAATATAGTTATAAAGTCAAAATGTTTGACTTTGATATTAGATCACATCACTGAAAGTTGTCTTGTCATGAATCGGGTACTGTTTGTTTTAGTTTGTTTTGTAAATATAGTTATAAAGTCAAAATGTTTGACTTTGATATTAGCTCACATCACTGAAAGTTGTCTTGTCATGAATCGGGTACTGCTTGTTTTAGTTTGTTTTGTAAATATAGTTATAAAGTCAAAATGTATGACTTTGATATTAGCTCACATCACTCAAAGTTGTCTTGTCGGGCACAGCTTCTTTTTGTTTGTTCCATTTAGAGTTACAGCAGTTCCTACCTGAAGAAAAGCTGCCGCGTCCGTCTCCTTCAGCGCCTCGATGCAGAACTGCAGCAGTCCTGTCGTTTGTTGAAGCTTGGATGCACAAGTAGCGATTTGTTCCCGGATAATTTTTATTTTTGAATCTCGTTCCTGATGGACAAACTCAAATAACTGGAGTCTTCTTCTGTGGATGGCTTCAATCAGAAGGTCACAATCAGCAGAGATCCTGTTTTCAAACTCAACACAGTTGTCCTAGAAGTAAGGCGCAAAACAACAGATCAGAATGTGTTAACAACCCAGTGACTCAGTGGTGAGTCCAAAAGCTTAAAACTGGTTTCGATACTTGTGGTGGGCACAGCATAGATAGCCCATTGTGTAGTTTTGTGCTTAACTAAACAAACAAACAGACTGTGTCAAGAAGTTAGATCCAAAATGGAACACAACTAAGGTGGTAGAAAGAAGAGTAAACAGAATATTTTACCGAAGTAATATCAGATAAAAGAGCTTGTTGTAACAACCATATTTAGAGCTGATAATAGTCATACACCGCTGTTGTGTTATAAACAAATATTGAAATTTTGAGTCACATGCAAATACAATGAAATTCTTAACCCTTTACACGATATTTTACTTACTTTTTGCAAGCTCTGATACTAGTTCTGTGCCATTTAGGTTATTGGTGCTTTGTAGATAAATAGATTTCAAAACTTTGTAAGGTTATCCGAGTAAAACATTTTCGTCAAATTTGAGCGGCTTTTGTTGAATAACTTTGCACATGTGGCTTATACTTACACCAAATGAGACTCCTATTTGTAGATTGAAAGGATCTATCAGTGTACTAAATTTGAAAAAAAATCCATAAAGCTTGAAAATGTTTTTCTATCAAATAACATTTCCGTACATTGGGTGAGAAGGAAAAAAAGGAAAGAAAGAAACTCCATCAAAATTGAAGATGATATACCTCAGGTATTTCTTAATGGATTACCTTGAAATTTGGTATGTGAATTAAGAGTCCAGTAGAGCGCATCCACCGAAAATATGTTATTTTTTGGATTACCACAGTCCGAGATACAGAAAGTGGAAAATCATTAAACGATCATTCCTTTTAATAACACACACTGTGTCATGCAGCAGGTTATTTTGGCCGCACGACACAATACCGTGTGTCTTGATTCTTAGAAGTTTGGTTTGTTTGTTTTCACTTTTGCGCAAAGCAACTCGAGGGTTATCTACGCTAGTCGTCACTAATTTAGCAGTAATATACTATAGAGGGAAGGCAGCTAGTAAACTCTCTACTTAGCAACTATATAACTTCTAGAACTAAAAATGCACACAAAGAAATAGAATGGACTTAATTATAGGTGAATAAAATGATAGATATAAAATACATTAGTCTACATATCTTGGGATATTTAGAAAGATATTGAAAGTTTTAAAAAAAGACAACTTCCATTTTTAGGTGTTAAAATATTATTGCGTCATAATAATAATCAGAGCAAGTTAATAAAGACAAATTGGCAGATTTTATAAACCTATAAATTGCCACGCCTATTTTAATGTTAAAGCTAAATTTTCCAGACCCTCCTTTAATTTATTTGGAAGAGTTATATGGAATTTTAGTAAAAAAGAAAAGAGAGAGAAACTGATTTTAGGGTTAAGAGAATTACAGTTTTTCGTAATACTAACATATTGTCCAGAAGGCCTTGTTGATAGTAACTTCAAGCTGGGCCTATAATTATTTTGTTTCATATTTTTACAAGGAATTACTCATTGGCTAATATTACAGCTGTTAATTCTCGCCTTTAGTTGTTTAAAATTATATTAGAAAATAGGCAGAAATCAATGCTGAGTAAATTGTTGATAATTACTCCCTATCGTAAAATTAAAATAAAATTAATAGAACAGGAATTACCATTCGTACTGTAAAAATGTACAAGCTGAGTAATTTTAATCATATAATAAATACTTGGATATTATGAAGTATATTATTGTCCGCCTTTAAAACATTGTGTTAATAATGTGTCCAATAAACATGTCGTAGAATAGGAATTACAAAAGCGGGATAGCTGTAAGTTTACGTACTTACAACGCCAAATTCGGCGTGTTCGGTTTTCAACGTGGCTTTATGTTCAAATAAACAAATATAGATTTTTAAAAACAAAAGGGCTTTTTATCAAAGCAGAAAGGTTGAATATTTTTCAATCATTGTTGTTAGTGGATCCTACAAGTAACCTTCTTATACACGGAAAAACGCGCTACTTATTTTTCACTGCTTCGGTGTCATTTATGCGTTCAGAGATGGAAAATGATAACATTTGTTACAGAAAGGCTGGAAGATCCACTTTATTCAAATAATAGTAATAATGTAACTGTTATAAACTTTACTTACAGGTACTTTATCTACCATCACTTTCAATTTCTGAATAAACTCAGTCGCTCCTTTGGCTCTCTCGGACAGTGCTTGAAGAGACTGGGATAACTCCGTCTGATAGGGATAAAAAAAGGAACTAATTGTGTTACTATAGTGATTAAACTGTTATGCAGAGTAATTCAAATAAAAATGTCAACATAGAAAAGAATAATTCAGAAATCGAGAGGCATAGGAAGAAAATTATTGGTGATGTAAAATGAAGTGTTCTGAGCTTACTTTGCAACAATGTTATTAAGGTCATGTCCTTCGGAAATTTTATTAATATGACGGTAAATCCCAAATGTCAATGGTAAATATATAAACTTTATATATACAACTGGAACACTTTCAGCCACAAGAGTAATAAACTCATTTCTCAAGAACAATAGATATAGGCATAAATGAATCATTTTCATGTATATGGAGTTATCGGGAACCGTTTCGTCTAGACAATCTGGTGACACCTTTCATACATTAGGACCATGTTAAGTTATTCTTCAACTTAATAATATGCGAGTGCGGCATCATATTTGTGTGTTACTTTAATCAGGGAGTTTTTATTTTGAAAAACTTTGTGTAACAACCTTTGCTATGGTCGAATTTCAGTCTCTTGTAAGATGAATGCCATCCTTCATCAGATGATATGAATATATGTCAGCGGCTGTGTACTACAGGATCATTCGCGCATAGACGCCGTGCTGGTAGACCAAGAACAGCAACCAGTATTGACAATGAAGCCGCCATATTAGCATCTGACACTTGAAGAGTACTTTAAACACGGCTGTTGATCGTTTACCAGCATTTTTGTATTACCATTAGGATGTTCACTTCATCTACATTTATACCGTTGTGACTTTGAAGCGATTCTGGTTTCAAATATTTCCATTTACACGCTTGGAATTAAAATTTCTGTAAAAGATGCATATTAATGGAAGTTTTAAAGTATGTGACTTGAAGTTGACTTTGAATTGCCACAATAATATCGTCACAGGGTAAGCCCACAATACTTCCTTCCACTTCAATAAATTATTTTCCTAAACCTCTCGATTTTTAAACCACTTGTCTGTCAATGGATTTCTCAATCACTCAATATGTTGTTATTTTGGTACTTCACTATGAATACGAATATAGGCAGAATAAATAATTACATGACAATTATGGCATATATCACTAACAAGCCAGATCAGTCATGAACTTCTGCTTTCTAAGATTACTTAGTTACAGCTTTTCTAGAATTACAATTGCCACAAAATATCATCAATGTGGCTTTTTACACACTTAAATAAAACAGCTAATTAGCACAGTCATTTATACACGTAGAAAGATACGTATATGATATTATGTAAAATAACAGTAAAATGGCCTTGTCACACTAGTAATATTATTTATTATCAAAGAAGATAGCCTCCATAAGTTACATTAATCCTTCTGTTTCTACGAAGCTTCTGCTGAACATGAAGTTTGTCGTAGTAACATGCAAAGTTTTGGTTAAAATGTAACAGCTAAATAAGATTTGAAGGTGATCGTCAAACAGCTGATTAAATTAGTTTTAAAATGGGACACTAATCCATTAAGATTGTACTCTGAGGTTATAATTAGAGAAGAATAACAAATAACTTAAATTATACTTTTTATTCTTACTCTTAGAGCAGAATACCGAACAACTTAGGTTGTACTTCTGGCCTTATTGTTAGAGTAGGATATCGAACAACTTAGGTTGTACTTCTGGCCTTATTGTTAGAGTAGGATATCGAACAACTTAAGTTGTACTTCTGGCCTTATTGTTAGAGTAGGATATCGAACAACTTCGGTTGTATTTCTGGCCTTATTGTTAGAGTAGGATATCGAACATTTTAGGTTGTACTTCTAGCCTTATTGTTAGAGTAGGATATCGAACAACTTAGGTTGTACTTTTGGCCTTATTATTAGAGTAGGATATCCAACAACTGAGGTTGTACTTCTGGCCTTATTGTTAGAGTAGGATATCCAACAACTGAGGTTGTACTTCTGGCCTTATTGTTAGAGTAGGATATCGAACAACTTAGGTTGTACTTCTGGCCTTATTATTAGAGTAGGATATCCAACAACTGAGGTTGTACTTCTGGCCTTATTGTTAGAGTAGGATATCGAACAACTGAGGTTGTACTTCTGGCCTTATTGTTAGAGTAGGATATCGAACAACTGAGGTTGTACTTCTGGTTGTTGAACCATAAATAAATATATGGATTATCCAGAAAAAATGCTGGCACCAATCTGTATTTGGTATCGTTAGAACAGTAAATTTTGCTCTATGACATATCCGAAATCCACAAAATCTACTTTGGGAAATCGTTTTGCATGCAAATCAGCTAAAATAACCCTCTTTTTTACATATTTCTCGCATTAACTTAAATAGAAAACTAGGTCTTTTGTTCTTATTGTTAAAGTAGAATACCAAACACCTGAGGTTGTACTCCTAGTGTTACTGTTAGAATAGAATACCGAATAACACAGAATGTACTTTTGGTCTTACTATTATTGCAGATTATCGAACAACTAAGGTTGTATTCTTGGTGTAAAATACTTAATAGCTCATGATGTACTTCTGGTCTTAATGTTAGAGTAGAACACCAAACAACCGAGGTTTTACTTTTATTCTCATTGCTAGAGCAGAATACTCAACACCTTAGACTGTATGTTTTGTTTTATTGTTAGTATTAAATATAAGGTAACTGAAGATGCATTTCTGTTCTTATTATTAGAGTAGAATATCCAACACCATAGACTGTACTTTTGGTCTTATTGTTAGTATAAAATATAACATAACTGAAGTCATACTCCTGGTTCTAAGATATTGTGTTTTATAATTAACTGCACATTACAACGTTTATTTAGTAATGACTATCAATTTAATACAGGTGACATGAACTCGATTTCATTTAATCCTTATGATTTATTGTCCCGCCTCTTTTTTTGAAAGCTCCGCGTGTTTTTTGTTTTCAAAAAGGCCCCAAAAATAATCAATTTACTGCTTTTTTCGCTTATGTTTTTTGTTTGTTTTCTGTAAACTCAGTCTTTGTATTGACTCATCTTAATAGCTGTGCTTTTCTCCAGCTCCGCGCACAGCTTTCTCCAATTCGATCACTGGTTGTTGTTGTTGTGTTTTAACTTCCACGTTCGAACACTTGTTGGAAGGCCGGTTTCACAACATTATATCTTCTATACTACAACCAGATGATGATCTTTCAATAGTATAAAGTATAACATCAGTGAACACAAAATGTTTTATTTTACACGTTCTTAATTTTCTTCTTAATCAAATTCGAAAGCGTTTTAACTTTCAACTCTGGAATTCACGTGACCAACTTAAACATGCTACAGGCTGTAAATATTCCAGTCAATACACGATATTTATATTGAATCTTTAAATCATAGATCCGGCATGGCACTTAAAATACGTTATCAATCTTCAAACTTTGAAAAGGCACTTGTGACATTTATTTTCACTGTGTATTATAGGATGAAACTATTTTCGAAGAGTAATACCTTATATTACTACTTGGCTTTGTTCGTACACTTCGTGATAATATTGTTTAAATCAGTGTATTCATTTCCTATTAAGTATTTAGCTTACATTAAAAATATGAATGTTTATGCATGAGAAGATATAGTGTCATTATATATATACATATGAGTATGCTCACTTTTATATTACACTTTTATGTACATATTATATAAAATATATTTCATAAGCCTGAATCTTATAGTTCAAACTTAATAATTAAGGCCAGAACATATTAAAACAAAAAATTGGTTCAATTTGAAATGTTGCAGTTTACATAAAGATGGGCAGTCATATTTTTTACAAACCACCCTTTTCAAAAGAAGCTTTATTAATTCGAATCATGTAAGGAAATATAGCTTTCGACTAGTATTGTCGTCGAGTCTCGCTTAGAAAGAGAATAAAAGAAAGACAGTCTGATCCCATGCTCAGAATGGGAAAGTATTTAGTTGTTGTCAGTTGAACCAGTCCAGATGGATATAATAATAATATCTTTGTTGTGTTTACTCTAAAATATTTGTATAAATTACCTATTTTGAGTTGCTTGCCCAAATATAATTTTTTCAAATGGAGAAATAAGTTAAATTTTAACACATTCATAACCTGAATCTGAACCGTTTCTTGCTTTACCAATACATTTCTTCAAAATGTAAAATATTGCGCTAGCATGCTCTTATACTCTCGAAATAGGAAGATTTTCGCATCGAAAATTTTTGTAACGTAATCGACTCAGAAATAGTCACTTTTACACACCACTTCCATTTCAAAAATCATCACAATTCAACTGAATTGGAACAAGAGGGTCGGAGATTCTAATCACGGGACACGGGAAAGGCCAACAGCAAAGTGATTGGATAAGCAAATTGTGTGTGTATGTGTATAGTATTCAGTTCATTAGTGTGTATGTTTGTAAGAGTGTGTGTGTGTAAAGCTCAGTTCAGTGGGGTGCATAAATAAAATACTTCGTTCAATCTATGTAGCTGTTTTACATTGATGCACAAGGAAATCTATCAGCCTTGTATGTTGACCAGGCTACTGTGGAGTGTAACTTTACATCACTCTACTACGCTATTTTATTGCATTATGATATTCATGATACCAATAATAAGAGGAAATTTTCATCATTAATTCACAAATTTAAGCAGAGACTTGAAGCAGACTCCACTAATGATAGAGAGTGTAAGAGACTGATAGAACTTGCAAATTTTCCAGATAACCACCCTTATCCAAGATAACGAATGTTGACTGCTAAATCTCGGTATTTGAGCCGTAGTTTATTTACGAGTGAATCATTGCGCGTAATTTAAATAAAAGTAACTTAAAGGAGCCCTATCGGTTTTAAGTTAATAAATATAAGTCCAAGTTATCACACTAAGTATAAAAGTTGTAAGCCCCTATAAAACTGATTTTTAACTATTCAATTTTGTATAGCAAAATAATAGTTTTGCTGGGGAGGGAATATAAAAAATATACTCAATATACCTTAATTTAAAGAAAGAAAAATCACACAGTTTTCTAGAAGATGGAAAGGAGA